AGTTTGAAATTTGATGGAAAACTTAGGGAATTATGCTCTCGCGAAGTTAGCGGTCTCGGCGATGTTTACGCATCGGCGATCTTGCCCACTTTGAGCCCCATTTTCGGCCAATTCCAATGTACTAGTCAACAAAAAACATGAATATTTCGCTAGAACTCCATTTTTTCTATCGAATGAGTGCAAGAAACCACCCATTTATCAATTTCAACTATCCAGTACAGTGGTCAGAATTTAGCAATTTTGCCAATTTCACACAAATTTCAAAGAATGCCAATTTCCGAATAGGGTCCAGAATAAACAAGAAAGACATTCCTGGCATTAAAATGGCATTTCCTCTGTTCATTAGTCATGTCTCAAGGCCCCTCTTACATTCTTTTGCTTTCCACTTTGAATTTTTATTCTCACAAAAAATAGAAGATTTACTGTTATGCAGACTACTGCATTAGTGTAAAAAATGGTATAAATAATATTGGCACACTTGCGAAAGAATATTAGACTCACCAGTTGACGTGTATTGGACACTTGGCATGATTTGTTTACTTTTGAACTTTGGTAAAAATCGAACATTTCTGCTACTTTGAGCTCAATTTCAAGCTACTTTTCATTGTAAAACCAGTCAAAATCATCTCAATTTCTGTAATATGTCTTCCATTCTATAAAATGAGACCAAGAAAACTAGAATACAACAATAAATACCATATGAAAATACAGTGCAAAGTCGCGGTTTTATTCCAAAAAAACGGTCAAAGTTTTTTTTTTCTCATTATGCACTGTGTGCTGCAGGATTTTTTTTATACTGTGCACACTGACCACATAGACCCATTCTTTCATATGTAGGCCTACCAGCTTTCTCCCACTAGATTTGAGGGCGCTAGAATTTAGGCGTACTAGTACGTCAAAAACCCTGGGTCGTAAGCTGTACTAGTACGGCCGAAACCCTCAAAGGGTTAATACAAAATTGGAGCATTTCACAATTGTAATTCGAAAATAGAGCCATATTTTAAGACATCATTAATATTTATTCGTTTGGGTAAAAACCATAAAACAACTTATTGACTCCTATATAATAGTACAAGTGCTCTTCGACTTATGATGGGTCGACTTACAATATTTTGACTACGATGGTGCAAAAGCAATTACTCTGGAGATAAAACTTAATAATAATCACCAAGCATGAAGGCAACAAGTCCATAACTTGTATTTATTTATTTATGTTTCAACACTGGTATATAGTTACAGTAATTATTTGTTTATTTACTCATTTCAGTGATAGTAGTTATTTATTTACTTATTTATTTAGCATAAACAGTGGTACCCCGAGTTTCGAGCTGCTCCCAACTCGACCAATTAAGTAAGTGTATTATTGTAAGTGCTTTTGTAAGCGTATTTTTGGGGGTCTGAAATGGACTAATCTAATTTACATTATTCCTTATGGGAACAAATTTGTTTGGTAACGGCACTCGAACAGCCTTCTGGAACAAAGAAAGTTCGAAACTCGGAGTACCACTGTATTCACATTTGACATATGGTGGGTTTGTTGGACGATAACCCCATCATAAATCAATTAGCGCCTGTACTTTATAATGCATTGCTTCATCTTTCTCTGTATTATTGTCTACAGTGAGCAAGCACATGAGAAGATAAAATACTTTATTAAAGTTTATGCAGCACCAAGTCAATTTTTTCCCCTGTGAATAAATCTGTAGTTTTTTGTTGCTATTCTGTATGTTTTTTATATGTAACACGTGTTATATTGCTTATCTGTGTACATACTTGTATTAGGGTTCCTTCAAGGGATGGTAGTGGAGAGCTTATTTTCCAAGGAACTGGGCTTATCCTCCCTTTTCTTGGACCAAACCCAAGTGACTCCCATTCCCTAGTTGCTATATGACCCTTATGGGTTTAGCACTCCTTTGGTTTAAATAAATATATATCATGTCATAGCTTACACTAAAACTCATGAAAATATGGATGCAAGAACACTTAGGATTTCTTTATCCAGTAAAGATATCATAAGTGTTATGTACTTGTATCCTAACATCCACACTGTTGGTATTTGTTATACCTTGTACCCTTATGATATATGTCAAATATGCATCACCATCAGCAGAGATTAGTTTTTGCTCTGGCTGCCAGATAGCAGCAGTTACTGGACTGAAATTCCACCTTGTCTGCGGACTCAGCACACAGCGTGGGATATTCAAAACGTTTTTTTGTTGGCTGGAGAGAAAGCACAACTTAATGGTTTAGAAGTTGGACTACATATCACAGATTTGTGATGTATGTGACTAAAGACCTAGTATGTTGTATAACCCTTTTGCATTTAACATTTTCATGAATTTAATACAGTAATATTTATATACAAACAGTAATTTCAATAGGTGGCCAGTGAAGTTGCCAATTTTTTAAGTCACCAGTATCAATGAGTTATCAAAGCAGCTGGTTGGGTGATGTGTTAAAATATAACAAGTTATTCAAAAATATAATTTTGGTTTAAGTTAGGGTAGGATATGTTGTATTATAAAATTAAATTACTGGGAATGCTTTAAAAGTTCTAAATTTGAGCTCCCTGGAGTGTAGGAGAGAGAGAGAGAGAGAGAGAGAGAGAGAGAGAGAGAGAGAGAGAGAGAGAGAGAGAGAGAGAGAGAGAGACATGATAATGTATACATTATACCTGGAAAGTACTTGACGTTCTTCTTCCAAACCTGCAAAATAAACCCAGTGAAAAGCAGGGGTGCTGTGGGCACAGTAAGAGAACACTGTATCAGCATTTGCAGCTCCAGACTATTCAACATCTTAACCGGAAGATACCAGAAAGACTGCTGGGAAAAATGTAGAAGTCTATAAAAAAATAGGTAAGTATCTTCATCAGGTGCCAGATCAACCAGGCTGTGATGGATATGGCGGTCAGTGGGTCACCACCAGCAATAATCTGGTTGACCAGGCAAGCATCAGACAAACCTGGCCCAAGGCCAGTCTCCAGAAGTAGAAAAACTTGAAACTCATCAAAGGTATACTATAGTTCTTGCTGATGGTTTTAATAAAACAGTAAACTATTTGCCAGTAGGAAAATACAAGATCTCTGGCTGATCTATACCATGGCAACATAGGTGGGATCATTCAGCATTCATAAAATATACAAATTTCAAATGTATAACAGAAACTTCATGCACTGACATTTGTTCTGCTGATTTATTTTTGTAGCAGCTGTGTCTTTCTGGCAGAAAAAATTTTGGGTTCGATTCCCGGGCGAGTCAAGATTCATTAACAATAAGCATTGTTCAGGATACCTAAGAGTTACTTTACAAACAGTATTCTTTATTGCTGTGTAGATGGTGTTAAAGAACAGTAATGTGTTACCAGTTCATGTCATGGCCAGTAATAGTGTAAACCGGTTTAAAACTAGAGAATAAGAATATGGATCATGAGATCTTTTTATATAATGAGAATGTACAAGTTCCCTTATAAAACTAATGTACATACAGTGGACCCTTGGTTATTGGCCGTAATCCGTTCCAGAAGCTTGGCCTAAAACCGAAATGGCCGAAAACCAAAATAATATTTCCCATGAGAATTAATGTAAATACAATTAATCCATTCCAGACACCCAAAAATATCCACAAAAATTTTTTTTTTTAAAGATTAATTATAGTTTTACATACACTAAACAATGAGAACTAAATAAAATAAATACATCAACAATTAAATCAGTATTACATACCTTTATTGAAGACTCTTCTTGGCTTATGGAAGATAGGGAGGAGGAGAGAGGCTTGAGAGTCACTGTACCCCTGCAACTCGCTCCACTTTGCACACACGTCCTTAATCACTGAAGAAGGAACATTCTCCCCTCTCTCTTCCTCCTCCTCTGAAGCAATTTCCTCAGCTGTGGTCTGTTGCTGTTCCAAATGAAGGCCTTGCAGCTCTTCCCTCTACCACCACCACAACCACTACCACCCTCTACCACTATCGCTACCACCACCACTTTTGTACTTTACTACAATTTCTTTCTTAAATTCCATTGTGTTTCTCACTTTCTTTACCAAAGGAACATTACTAGGAACTTTCTTTGGGGCCATGGTTACTTATTTCGCAGTTTCACTTCAAAAAACCACCAAAAACAATGAATGTATAGTGAACTGTTTGAATGAATGAGAAGAAGCTTCAAGCGCCCAGAGACACAGCCAAACTGACGTGCAAGTAGCTGGGCCTTTTCACGGTCTATTCAGTTTGGGATGCACTTTTTCAATCACATTTACAACAAAATATATCTGCATAGAGAAACTTTGTAAGTGAGCTTACTATACCAACATTTTGCTGTTAAACAATTGTTTTTTAAATTGGACATTTTCTATCTTGTTAAAAAATGCAAAGGCCACAAAAATTGCCACATGTGAGTAGGCCATATTTTGTTAAATTACTTTTGTACTGTGCTGTGTAAGCATGAGTATGGTGTTGGAGTTCTCTTGATCCAAGGAGTATGAGTTACCCATCCCTTCCTTGAATCTAACTTAGTTACCTCCCATTCCCTAGACACTATGACCTTAATGTGTTTTGTGCTTCCTTGTGCATATGAGAATTATATACATTTTGTTAGTAAATTCAGTGTTAAATCATTTTTTCCAGAACTATTTTGTTCCCACTAAGGTAATACTTAGGAATGTAGTTTCATTTCTTGGAACAGATCTTGAATATGTAATGGGGGTTTGCTTTTAACAAATAACCTGAATTTTGGAGAGGAACTTTGTTCCATTCTGATCCATCTGGGATAGACCCAAATGTATTAAAATTCATATCTTAAATGTGGGTTATTTTAAAACTGCAGTATTGTATCCTTTTATTCTTTAACAGGGCATGCCAATGTAGTTAATATTACAATTAGTATTTCTGTTAAGTGATGCAGGATTGTATTTACATATTGTATGGTAAAATGAATTTTGATCAATGTAAAAAATATTATTTACTCTTAAAAATAATTCCTTATTTCTTTATCCTGACAGGCAATGACTATTTATTACTGAGGAAAAATTTTCTGCTAGTGATTAGATGAAAAACAGTACGAGATTAAACCAGAGCTAAAACATTATTGTACCTTCACGCAGTTATGTCATCTGTTGGAAATAAAATGTTGGCACATAATAAAAACGAAGGCCATCATAATACAAGAGAAACTGTTAATAACCCTAATGGTGTAGAAAATGAAAGACTGTTAACCATTTCAAGTTTGCCTAGTGAAAGGGTCTCTACAAGTCATGAATCCCACAATGATTCTCTCACTCTTCATACATTGGACCCTTCAGTTATGTATGCAGATAATTTATTTTCATTTTGCAGTGGCAGTGATTCAGACTTTAGTGGTTTTCAAGTTTCAGGTAAAGATGCAAAAGGAAAAAATTTTAGTAAGGAATCTTTTTGTGACGATTTTAGAAAGGATAACCCTAGTACCAGCATGGCTGATAGTTTACCCCATAATAGCCAAGACAAAGGAGATGAACAAACGAGGTTTCGAGAACTTCGCAAGTTTGCAAACACTTTGGAATGGCACCAAGTATGTGTCTACACTGCTTATCAGAAATATATTATTAAGAGTAAGCTGGTAATTTATTCACATATGAAATTATGATTAATCAGTTGTAAGATTTCTTGGTGTAAAATAGTTTCAGTTTCCAGGTAAACTCCAACTCTCTTTTCTTTACAGGGTACCAAACAAGATACCAGTAAACGCTTAAAGAGTGCAAACTATAGCGAAGCTGAGAGAGAGAATAATAGTGATGACGACAGCGACTCGTCTTGTGAAGTAATGTTAAACGTAAGATACTATTTCTTTTGCTTAACCCGTAAATGGTCCAAACGTATATACATGTATACGTTTTTTCAACATTTGAAAGTATGTAAAAAAAAGATCTTTTTGTTTTTTTACATTTGAAAATGTGTAAAAAAACTTTGATATACTTTTTTTGTTGTTACATTTGAAAATATGTAAAAAAAGTAGATCTACTTTTGTAGCACTACACATGTGAACATAGATCTGCTTGGACCGTTTACGGGTTAATGGAAAAAAGTCTTAAGTTTTGATTGTATGGTTACATGGGTAATTGAAGTATACCTGGAGAGGGTTTTGGGGGTCACTGCCCCTGCGGCCCAGTCTGTGACCAGGCCTCATGGTGGATCAGGACCTGATCAACCAGGCTGTTAATGTTGGCCGAACGCAACCCGACGTATGTACCACAGTCCGGCTGGTCAGGTACTGACTTTAGGTGCCTGTCCAGTGCCTTCTTGAAGACAGCCAGGGGTCTGTTGGTAATCCCCCTTATGTATGCTGGGAGGCAGTTAACAGTCTTGGGCCCCTGACATTTATTATGTTGTCTCTTATCGTACTAGTGGCACCTCTGCTTTTCATTGGGGGGATGTTGAATTGTCTACCAAATCTATTGCTTTCATAGGGAGTGATTTTTGTGTGCAAGTTTGGTACTAATCCCTCTAGGATTTTCCAAGTGTATATAATCATGTATCTCTTCCACCTGCATTCTAGGGAGTACAGATTGAGGAACTTCAAGCATTTCCAGTAATTCAGGTGTTTTATTGCAGTTATGTGTGCTGTGAAGGTTCTTTGTACATTTTCTAGGTCAGCAATTTTGAAAGGCCTTGAAAGGTGCTGTTAGTGTGCAGCAATATTCCTGCCTAGATAGAACAAGCGACCTGAAGAGTGTCATCATGGGCTTGGCATCCTTAGTTTTGAAGGTTCTCATTATCCATCCTGTCATTTTTCTAGCAGATGTGATTGATACAATGTTGTGGTCTTTGAAAGTGTGATCCTCTGACGTTAATCACTCCCAGGTCTTTTACATTAGTTTTTCGCTCTATTGTGTGGTCGGAATTTGTTTTATACTCTGATATAATTTTAATTTCCTCATGTTTTCCATATCGGAGTGATAGAAATTTCTCATCATTGAACTTCATATTGTTTTCTGTGGGCCATTTAAAGATTTGGTTGATGTCCACCTGGAGTCTTGTAGTGTCTTCAATGGAGGACACTGTCATGAAGATTCGGATATCATCTGCAAAGGAAGACACGGTGCTGTGGCTTACATCACACTTGCTGTTTCCCACTGAGGCAGGGTGACCCGAAAAAAGAAGAAACACTTTCATCCCATTTTTATAAAGTTTTTCTTATTATTATTTTAAGTAATTTATGCAGGAGAAGGGGCTACTGGCCCATTGCTCCCAGCATTTTAGTTCCCTCTTTGGAAATGCATGGCTTACAGAAGAAAGATTCTTCTCCACTACCCCATGGAGATGAAGGGAAATAGATAAGAACAAGAACTATTTAGACAATAGAAGAAAATTCAGATCATTGTGTATACATATTTGTGTATGTGTAGTGTGCCTAATTGAAAGTAGAAGTAGCAAGATGTACCTGTTTTCTTGAGTGTTTATGAGACAGAAAGAAAAGACACTAGCATTCCTTCCATTGTTAAATTAAACTGTAAAGCTGAGGAGCCTAAACTGCTAACTTGACACCTGTGCAATTTTGTAAGTTTTTCCTCAATAGTTCCACCTCTTTTTTTTCTTTACAGGGTACCAAAAAAGATACCAGTAGGCGCTTAAGGAGTGCCAACTATGAAAGAGAGAATGATAGTGATGACAACAGCAACTCTTCTTGTGACGAAATGTTAAACGTAAGATTCTGTTTCTTTTGCTTTATGGAAAAGACGCCTTTAAGTTATAACTGTATTGTTACATGGGTAACTAACATAATTATTTATATATTTAAGTTAAACTGTAAACCTGAGGAGAGCCCAGACTATTAACTTTGCACCTTTGTAGTTTTTGTAAGTTTACCATCAAATTTCATACTATTTTTTTTTACCTTCAGAAAAAGGTTCTCTACCATTTCAGAAGAATTTCTTTTAATTGTGCACACAGAGCAATTTTATTTTTGGGGGGTTGTGACAGTGAAGGGGTTAATATTAATTTATATTGTTTAGCAGTTTAACAGTAGCTATCATTTATAAATTCTGTACATCCATTACTTGGTAATTATTTTCATGCTTTTTTTATTATCCACCCCTACCCATCTTGTGGTCTGTAATTAAGAGGAATAATGGTAGAATTACCAACAAAATGGTAGGTAAAAGGGGCACAGATGCAACTAATGTGACATTTTATTGTGACAATGTTTTGCTCTCCAGGAGTGAAATGGCTTGACAAAGCTCCTGGTGAATGAAACATTGCCACAATAAAATGTCACATTAGTTGCATCTGTGTCCTCTTACCTATATTTATGAGACTAGAAGCACAGTGTATGGTAGAGTTATAATTGAAAGAATTAAGAGTAAGACGGAGAATAGGATAGCAGATGAACAAGGAGGTTTTAGGAAAGGTAGGGGGTGTGTGGACCAGGTGTTTACAGTGAAACATATAAGTGAACAGTATTTAGATAAGGCTAAAGAGGTCTTTGTGGCATTTATGGATTTGGAAAAGGCGTATGACAGGGTGGATAGGGGGGCAATGTGGCAGATGTTGCAAGTGTATGGTGTAGGAGGTAGGTTACTGAAAGCAGTGAAGAGTTTTTACGAGGATAGTGAGGCTCAAGTTAGAGTATGTAGGAAAGAGGGAAATTTTTTCCCAGTAAAAGTAGGCCTTAGACAAGGATGTGTGATGTCACCGTGGTTGTTTAATATATTTATAGATGGGGTTGTAAGAGAAGTAAATGCGAGGGTCTTGGCAAGAGGCGTGGAGTTAAAAGATAAAGAATCACACACAAAGTGGGAGTTGTCACAGCTGCTCTTTGCTGATGACACTGTGCTCTTGGGAGATTCTGAAGAGAAGTTGCAGAGATTGGTGGATGAATTTGGTAGGGTGTGCAAAAGAAGAAAATTAAAGGTGAATACAGGAAAGAGTAAGGTTATGAGGATAACAAAAAGATTAGGTGATGAAAGATTGAATATCAGATTGGAGGGAGAGAGTATGGAGGAGGTGAACGTATTCAGATATTTGGGAGTGGACGTGTCAGCGGATGGGTCTATGAAAGATGAGGTGAATCATAGAATTGATGAGGGAAAAAGAGTGAGTGGTGCACTTAGGAGTCTGTGGAGACAAAGAACTTTGTCCTTGGAGGCAAAGAGGGGAATGTATGAGAGTATAGTTTTACCAACGCTCTTATATGGGTGTGAAGCGTGGGTGATGAATGTTGCAGCGAGGAGAAGGCTGGAGGCAGTGGAGATGTCATGTCTGAGGGCAATGTGTGGTGTGAATATAATGCAGAGAATTCGTAGTTTGGAAGTTAGGAGGAGGTGCGGGATTACCAAAACTGTTGTCCAGAGGGCTGAGGAAGGGTTGTTGAGGTGGTTCGGACATGTAGAGAGAATGGAGCGAAACAGAATGACTTCAAGAGTGTATCAGTCTGTAGTGGAAGGAAGGCGGGGTAGGGGTCGGCCTAGGAAGGGTTGGAGGGAGGGGGTAAAGGATGTTTTGTGTGCGAGGGGCTTGGACTTCCAGCAGGCATGCGTGAGCGTGTTTGATAGGAGTGAATGGAGACAAATGGTTTTTAATACTTGACGTGCTGTTGGAGTGTGAGCAAAGTAACATTTATGAAGGGATTCAGGGAAACCGGCAGGCCGGACTTGAGTCCTGGAGATGGGAAGTACAGTGCCTGCACTCTGAAGGAGGGGTGTTAATGTTGCAGTTTAAAAACTGTAGTGTAAAGCACCCTTCTGGCAAGACAGTGATGGAGTGAATGATGGTGAAAGTTTTTCTTTTTCGGGCCACCCTGCCTTGGTGGGAATCGGCCGGTGTGATAATAAAAAAAAAAAAAATAATAATAAAGCACATGATGAGTCCAGGACTAGTCAGTGTTCTTTTGGCTAAGCAAATTAGTGCTACTATAGTAATATTTTAAGCAAGTAATAGTTAGGATACCTGACTAGGATGTTTAGTAATATAATGTATCATCACAGATGAAATATTATGACATTTCTGGAATACATATTTGTGAAGGAGCTTTCTCTAATTTTTCCTGTACATATTGATACTGAGAGGTACATACTGCCTAGTCAAATAACAAATGTCATCTTTTACCCATATTCTAGTTTATTACCAGCTTGTTTTAAATTTCTTATGTCAACCCTCAATTCTTTCAGTATTTTATGTATTTTAGTTATTTTTGACCTTTTCGGATATCCTCATGCAATTTCTTACAAAGCTTCCTCAAACTCAGTTGTTCTAGACTTCAAAAATATTTCACAACTTGGTTACTTCTATATTAATAGTTCTCATATTTGGGAAAGTTTCTATTTTTAAAACTATTTTAATTGAGACATGCAATTTTTTTAATTTCATCTAACTTTTAATTTCAAATCTTGAATCTTGCCACAAAATTGCATCACCTTTTATAATACTATTCTCTTGGTCTCAGAATCTTCATGTATGGTGAGCCAATACTCTCCAGTTACTTTCACATCAAAATGTTATTTTCTTACAGTAACATAAGCATACAATAGTGTGCATATCAATTGGGACAGTGATGAAATATGTCATTTATTTGGAAAAGTAATGTTTATTTGGAAAATACATGGCAATGATATGACAGATAACTGATTTTTTTTTTATCAGCATTGCTACACACTTTGGCAAGTTCTTTGTCATGGTAACAGGTCCTAATATCAGCAGCAATTACCTTCTCCACAGTTGAACAGTCCCGTTTCACAGTCCTGCATTTGCCTATTGATCATAGATTCTCAATTGGGTTGAGGTCAGGAGAGTTTCCATGCCAATTTAGAATACTTAGCTCATTCTCTTCAAAGAATGTCAGGATTTTTCTGGAAGTGTGGCATGGAGCAAGATCCTGCTTGAAAATGCCTTCTCCATCAGGAAAGTCTATCCACAGTAGGAAACAAATGAGCTACCAGGATTGCCTTGTATTTGTCAATGTTTATGGTTTCCTTAACAATAACAAGCTGTCCAGGACCTTTAGCAGTAAAACTACCCCAAAACAACTTACATGGGTGTTTTGGCACTTGATGAATGTGTCCCTTCCAAAGAGGGTCACCTTTGCTCCATCTCACTAACACTGATCTGTACCCATTTACATCAAAATGCACTTATTCTGAAAATATAAAGTTTCTCCATTCACCTGTCATCCAGCTGTTTTTTCTTCATAGAAGCAGTCAATAATTGTACAGTAGGAACAAAGGGCCATACAGGATATTGCAAGAAACCCAAAATATTTCTATTCCCATGCAAAATCCAAGCTAAGAACTAACTACCTGTAGAATTGGACCACTACTGAGAGGAGATTCATATACTGACGATGAACAGAAAATGAGTGAAATCCTAAAAGAACAGTTTGAGTCGGTGTTCAGCAACCCACTAAATGACAGCAAGGTAGAAAATGCCGAAATATTTTTCACTCCAGAAGAAGGCCATGCAGACCATCTAACTGACATTAGTACAAATCCCATGCCCACTCACTCAGCACCTACACCAAATTCATGGAATGCTCTATTTATGAAGAAGTGTAAAGTACCATTAGCACGAACACTCAGCATTCTTTGGAGAAAGAGCTTAGAACTAGGTGAAATACCAGAGGCCTTAAAGAATGCAGACATAGCTCCTTTGCATAAGGGAGGTAGTAGAGCACTAGCTAAAAGTTAAAGACCAGTAGCCCTAACTTCTCACATCATAAAAATATTTGAAAGAGTGATGAGACTGCAGATTACAATTTCATGGACCAACACGACCAGCATAACCAGAACCATCATGGTTTTAGAGCAGGGCGATCATGCCTGTCACAGCTGCTGAACCATTATGACAGAATTACGGAGGCACTGGAAGATGACCAAAACGCAGATGTAATTTACACAGATTTTGCAAAGGTGTTTCACAAATGCGATCTTGGAGTGATAGCGCACAAAATGAAGGCCATGGGCATTACGGGTAAGGTAGGCAGATGGATTTTTGGGTTCGCAACACACAGAACACAAAAAGTAGTAGTGAACAGGGCAAGATCCAGCATCAGCGAGGTCAAAAGCTCAGTGCCCCAAGGCACTGTCCTGGTACCTCTGCTGTTTCTCATCCTCATAGCAGACAAAAACACCCGGCACACTTTTGTATCATCATTTGCAGATGACACTAAAATAAGCATGAAAGTCACTATGGTAGAGGACACTGAAAAATTACAGGAAGGCATAAGCAGGGTTTTCCAATGGGCAGTGGAAAACAATATGACGTTCAATGGTGATAAGTTCCAGCTGCTTAGGTATGGAAAGAATGAAGAACTCAAAAGGAACACTATATACAAAACTCAAGTGGGTCACCAAATAGAACGTAAGGAACACGTAAAAGACCTGGGAATAATCATGTCAGCTGACTTTTTTTAAAAGACCATAACAAGACAAAGATCATGACAGCCAGGAAGATGATGGGGTGGGTATTGAGAACTTTCAAAACAAGGGAAATCATGCTGATGGTGACACTTCAAATCGCTAGTGCTCCCTCACTTAAAATATTGCTCAGTGCTGATGGCCCCGTTCAAAGCAGGAGAAATATCGGAGCTGGAACAGATACAAAGATCGTTTATGGCTCACATTGAGCCAATAAAGCACCTAAACTACTGGGAACGTTTTCAAGTCTTGAACACGTACTCGTTGAAGCGGAGGAGAGAGAGATACATTATATATACCTGGAAAGTACTCGAGGGCCTGGTCCCAAATCTGCACACTGCCATAACAATATACTTGAGTGAGAGATATGGGAGGAAGTGTAAAATAAACCCAGTGAGGAGCAGGGGTGCAGTGGGCACAATAAGGGAACAGTGTATCAACATCCAGAAGATATAAGAACATAAGAAAGGAGGAACACTGCAGCAGGCCTGTTGGCCCATACTAGGCAGGTCCTTTACAATTCATCCCACTAACAAAACATTTGACCAATCCAATTTTCAATGCTAACCAAGAATGTGATGAATGGTTTGAAAAACCGACAAGTTGAAGATTGAGACACTTATGCAGCATATGGGAATCTTTATTCTGGAAACGTTTCACCACACAGTGGCTTCATCAGTCCAATACAAAGAGGAAGGCGTAAGGAGAGGAGGAGAATGAGGTAATCAGTCCCTCAACCTGGAATCGATGTGTTCAGTCCATCAATGGCTGGAACAAGTGCAGAAGCCTTCAAGAGGAAACTGGACAAGTATCCTTACAAGGTGCCAGATCAACCAGGTTGTGATGGATATGTGGGGCAGCAGGCCTTCAGCAGCAACAGTCTGGTTGACCAGGCAAGCACCAGACGAGCCTGGCCCATGGCCAGACTCAGAGAGTTGAGAAACTCTTGAAACTCTTCAAAGGTATATCAAAGGTACATATATCTATACCAGCTTTCTAGCGGTTCTGCCAACTGGTGCCTTTGTTGAACAGTCGAAGAATCAACATTTACGCCAGCTGAAGTCAAATCTCTCTGTAGATCTTTTCTGGTTTTCTTGGGATCCTTCATATTATTTATGATAACCTTGTCATTGTGAGGTGTTCTCTTGCATCTTCCTTGATGCAGTGCTTCACAATCACTAGTGTCATCAGCTCTCTCCAAAATCTGACCAACAGTTGATTGCTAAGTTCAGATTTTCGTCAGTCTGTCTGATACTCAAATCAACATGTTTTCTAAGAACTACAATACTTGCATGCTTCCTAGGTGTAACATCCATCGTGAATTTCAGCAGTAATCGTGAATTGAAGGAGAGAATTTGGCAAAACCACATTCACTCATGGAGCAGGCCTGCAGTAGCCTTACAGAACAACAGCAGTTGTAGCACTGATGTGAGTCACAAGGTAACACCACAGCTGGATGGTTGCCAGAAGTTGGTAGCAAATTCTAAAAGAAAAGAACCCAAACTACATTAATTAAGCGAGAGACTAAAACGTGAGATAATCACAAAATTTACACCTGTCTCAATTAATTTGCACATTCCTGTAGATCATATCCTGTTTAGTTTTTCCAGTTCATGTAAAATAAAAAAGAATCACATTACATCACATTCGATGGCTTTGTATATGCAGTATTTAATGGCATGTACACTGCATAATGTACTTTCAGAATTATTGGATATCATGAGTGATAAATAATTTCCTTGTTACCAAATTTTTTTCTTTTTAACACACCTGCCATCTCCCACCAAGGCAGGATGACCTGAAAAAGAAGGAACTCTTTCATAAAGTTTTTCTTCTTACATTCAGTAATTTATACAGGAGGAGTTACTAGCCCCTTGCTCTTGGCATTTTAGTCACCTCTTACGACACCCATGGCTTATGGAGGAAGGATTCTTCTGTACTTCTCCATGGAGATGTTATAGAAATAATGTATTGTAATTTTTTCAGGCTCCAAGAATTTTAAGACCGAAGAAGTTGATCTCACCAGATGTTTCCCTCATAAGCAACACTGATTACGGGCGACTTGTGTGGGCGAAAATGTCAGGATTTAGGTTTTGGCCATGTAAATATATATTGTTGTTTATAGACTCAGTACCTTCTAGGGATCAAACCTGATTACCTCTCATTCTTCTCCTACAGGTTTTGTGCTTCCCTTATACAGGTGCTCCTTGACTTACAATGGAGTTACATTCCAATGAATTCATCACAGGTTGAATATCATAAGTCGAATAGGAATGTATGATCAATAAGTAAATAAATAACAATTGTCACTGAATAAGTAAATAAGCAAATAATTTTTGTAACTAAATACCGGTATTGAAAAGTAAATAAATGACTGAAAGTTTTTCCGATGAATAAATGTACAATACTCTATACAACAAAAAAAAAGTTTTACAGTACACTGACTTGAATGTGCATCGTTGTCACACCATCGTAAAGTTGAAATATCATATGTCGAACCATCATAAAGCGAGGAGCATCTGTATATAATCATTGGAAATAACAGTAATGTTGTAATAAGTTTGAAAGTATGCAGTGTACCAAGGATGTATTTTTTGTATAATCTCAATATGTTGTTGCAAGGAAAATATAGAGTAGAACCCTCGTATCTGTGGACTCAGTTACCTCGGTCTCAGTTATCCTCAGTTTACCATGGCCTGAAAATAAGCCTTAATTTTGCTTAATAACAATCCTAAAGCACAAAAGTAGTGATGCAGGCAGTTCTTCACAGCCTAGGAGAAGCTGTGAAGTGCTTCCCATCAGTGAAAAAGTGCTAATTTTTTACTTATTTTGTGTAATTTACTACAGCCTCTCTTCACTTAGCGACGTACTCATTTACTGACGATTCAGCTTACGACAGACTCTCTGACCAATATGCATACCTAAATAATGTATATTAGAGCTGATTTCCTCTATTCTGTTTATTACAATATACAGTAAACTACTGTATAAACATTGAAAAATGTACTAAAAATACAGTGTCTGATTTCTGTAGAAACAAGGAGAGACTTACTTACCTTACATCAACACTTAACTTACTCGTAAGTTAAGTGTTGATGCTAGCCATATTATTATTATTATAATCAAAAAGAAGCACTAAGCCACAAGGGCTATACAGCGCTGCATGCTAGCCATAAAGGTTCAACAGTTGGTCCTAGAAAATGCATGGAAACTGCCCATGATAAAAAAAACTTGTAGTAGTTCATAATTATATAAGAAACAAGTTACATAGCATATAAACATGCAATGTTTATATGCTATTGAGGGGTAGGTCAGTAGAGGAAAAGCAATGTTTTCTCTGGTCCAGCATTAGAGAAAACTATGAATCTGCGTGTGGCCCAGTCACCACCATTAATACATAACGCTTTTGTTTACAATTCTCGGCATGAATTATTCATTACTTCTCCCTTTGTTTATGATGGTATCTAAAGGTGGTTGTTAGAAACGATTAAACTCAGTGAACATGATATGTCAATGATAATAATATGGCTCTGGCTACACCTACTGGCTGCCTACACTGACTTCCTACAAATAAATACTACTCACCTCTCACCCTACATTAAGACTACAAAAATTTTGTAGTAAATGAATGTACTGTGTATGTATTTTACTTTTTATTGTGTTTTTAATGCCTAGTTCTATTACTAACTTAATATAAGTTAGTGTAAACTTGACAACCCTATGCCTGTTGTGGAATCTATTGTGGCTTTGGGAAGTCCCTGGGGTTGGATGTGAGTGGCCAGGATGTGGAAGAGTGGTTGATGACCACAGGGAAGAGCTAACCACTGAAGAGCTGCAACTCTATAGTTATTCTTTATAAAATTTAGTTTTTGTTAATATTTTTGGGCATCTGGAACAGATCAATTGGATTTACATTATTTCTTATGTCCATTTCGGATTTTGGCTGACCTCCTGGAATGGGTTAAGGACGAAAACTGGGGCATTACTGTATGTACTTCATTTAAAACTGTATCTTCCTTGCGTTTTGATTTTATATCAAAATAACAATGTATAGCGAATTTAAATTATTCTTCGTGTCATGGCGCCATTTTTTATGTGCCCTTAAAACTAGTTGCAGGGAAGGAATTTCTAAACCCCTTTCTCTGTAACCTGTTCCAAAGGGAAGGGGCACTGAAAATCCTAAGGATGCCCTAAATGTGTTAAGCGATTGTATATGGTCGTAGTAAATTTGAGGTAAATTTAAGCTTGGGTAACCCTTAATATAATGGACTAATAGAGGAAATCACGTGGCTGGTAATGCTGGATAGAGTTGAGAAATTAAGTTTGTTTTGCTATGACAGTAACTATAACTGACATTTTCATAACCAGTGGACTGTGCCACTTGTTTTCAGTTCAATTCACCAGTGTATTGTATTTCATATTACTGTAGTGTCTTAATTCAGTTACGTACAGCATTCCATTAAGGGTTAAATATTTTCAGATGAGTTGTGCTAAAAATACTTGGGATAAATCCTTTAATAACTAATGTATTTCAGTCATTTCTAATTGATTCCTTTGCATGGTATAAACTAACATACAATATTCGTTCTTTTCCCAGCGGTTATTATCAACTGTCATGACTGTGGCATGGAAGCACCTAGTCAACAGAGTGCCTGGGTATTCTGGTTTTCTGATAATAGAGTATCACAGGTATGTTCTATATGCAAGCTCTTTTATTAAGCTCCTCTGTATAATAGTTTTTTGTAAATGCAATTGAAAAAGTGCATGCAACATTGAATAGCACCTGAAGGAAGTTTCCAGGGGGTCTATGCCCCCATGCTTGGTTCCAGAGCAGGCTTCCCCTAAAGGATCAAGACCTGATCAAATAGGTTCTTACTGCTGGTTGCATGCATTGCAATTTATGAACCACAGCCCAGCTGGTCAGGTACTAATTTGAGGAAACCATACCATGGGTGGGGTTAGAACCTGCGATCAGTCACAAAACTCCAGACCGATGTGTTAGCCACTAATTTGAGGAACTTGTCCACTTCCCTGGTATACCTGGAGTAAATCTGGAGGGTGCTCCAGGGGTCATCACCCCCACGGCTCAGTCTATGACCAGGCCTTGCGATGGATCAGGGCCTGATCAGCCAGGCTGTTACTGCTGGCTGCATGCAAACCGATGTAGGGACCACAGCCCATCTGGTCAAGCACTGACTTTAAGTCCCTTAGGTGTTTTAGGTTTTTGATGCCCTTTATCAATTTCATTTGCAGCAATTGTACTGTAAGAGAGTTTACTGTATTGCCATTGTCATTTATCATCCTTCAAGGCGGGGATACCATGAGTCCAGTAAAGGAGTCTTGATACAAGGATTTGTGGCTACAGTCCCTATCTTTGGATCAAACCTGATTACCTCTCATTCTTCAGGGGCTGTATAACTTACAAGTTTACCACTGCCCTAATAATGAAAATAAAATTTCAATACAATTTTATACTTTGTCTACTAATTATATTTTTAACTTTATAACTCATCCTTCACCTTTGTAATACATAAATCATTATGTCAAATTCTTAAACTAATATTGTAAGTATTTGAGTAGTACTAGTAAATGTGAGCAGAGATAGTTAGTGTGAGCACAGATAGTCAACGTGAGCACAGATAGTTAGTGTGAGCACAGATAGTCAACATGAGCACAGATAGTCAACGTGAGCACAGATAGTTAGTGTGAGCACAGATAGTCAACGTGAGCACAGATAGTCAACGTGAGCACAGGTAGTCAACATGAGCAGAGATAGCATGAGCAGAGATAGTCAACATGAGCAGACATAGTCAACATGAGCAGAGATAGTCAACATGAGCAGAGATAGTCACTGTGAGCAGAGATAGTCACTGTGAGCAGAGATAGTCACTGTGAGCAGAGATAGTCAGCATGAGCAGACATAGCATGAGCAGAGATAGTCAACATGAGCAGACATAGTCAGCATGAGCAGAGATAGTCAACATGAGCAGAGATAGTCACTGTGAGCAGAGATAGTCACTGCGAGCAGAGATAGTCATTGTGAACTTAGATAGTCAGCATGAGCAGAGACAGACAGCATAAGCAAAGATAGCATAAGCAGAGAGATAGTCAACATGAATATAGTTATCATGAGCAGAGATAGTCAGGGTGAGCAGAGATAGTCAGCACAAGCAGAGAAAGTCAGCACGAGCAGAGATAATGAGGGTGAGCAGAGGTAGTCGGGGTGAGCAGAGATAGTCATCGTGAGCAGAGATAGTCGGTGTGAGCAGAGACAGTCAGTGTGAGCATAGTCAGCATAAGCAGAGATAGTCAATTGCAGAAAGATTTGTGGAAGAATCTGCTCATGATCATTCCAAACTCATTTGTTAAGCTAGACACAAATATCATACTACTCAATTAAGTACATGTATTTTATCATTGCAGATACCATTATCGAAAATCATGGACTTCGCAAAGAACTTTGCAAGTCTACATATGAAGATATACATGAGCCCAAGTAATTCAGCAACCCTAGAATGCCTTAAAGTAAGTGAATACTGTACAGCTTAGTTAATTATTAGTGATTCATGCCATTTTGTTTCTTCAGTGGGAAGTAGGAGGGGGAGGGGTGTACTCTAATTCTGGTGAAGGGATCTTGATCTAGGGAGTACAGTGGACCCCCGCATAACGATCACCTCCGAATGCGACCAATTATGTAAGTGTATTTATGTAAGTGCATTTGTACGTGTATGTTTGGGGGTCTGAAATGGACTAATCTACTTCACAATATTCCTTATGGGAACAAATTCGGTCAGTACTGGCACCTGAACATACTTCTGGAGTGAAAAAATATCGTTAACCGGGGGTCCACTGTATATCATTTTTGAGAGTACTTCAGTGATTAAATTTCCTTTCCTTATATCAGTATACAAAACTTGTATATGGTCAGGTCTTGCATAAAATTTAAGAGAATAAGTTGTTGACAGTAAAAATAAGTGATGGTGAATATGACTTCTTTGTAACACCCTAACTTGGTAGGAAATGCCTCTTATGCTAAGAAAACATATGTAGTTTGCTGAATCACGGCCAGACAGGTGACCGACGGACACTTGGCCGACAGACATTTGACCAAAGGACAATTGGTCAAATGGACATTGTGCTGACAGCCTTTTGGCCGAATGGACAACAGACTGAATGGAAAATTAGGTTAGGTTAGGTGATGAATGCCATTTTGTCCATTCAGTGAAATGTCCGTTTAGCCAAATGTCCGTCAGTGAAATGTCCATTTGGTCAAATGTCTGCCAGTGAAATGTCTGTCGACCATCTGTCCGAGAGTTGTGCTGAATATCTGACATGCATGGGAAGGGTGCACAAGTGGTTACATGGTTAAAAATGCACTGGTTGTTGGCATTATTCTTCAAGTTTGCACCATGTGGTCACACCTTCAGTGGTTTAAGGGTTCCATAGGCAATAAGGCATCAAAAATATAGATACTATATGTTTCCCATCTATGACCCTAGTAGGTTCTTTAACCCTTAAACTGTCCAAACGTAGATCTACGTTTGCTCACGTAGCGCTCCGAATGTAGATCTACTTTTTTTTTACATTGTTTCTTATGGAGAAAATGAAGGTCGGAGCGCTACGCGTGCAAACGTAGATCTACGTTTGGACAGTTTAAGGGTTAAAACTGATTGTTACTTAAATTTTTGGAACTCTAAATCTGTTTACCTGTAAACACCAAAATTATAAGTGGAGGTGTATTTTCTAAGCTAGTAGATTGCAATCTTTTATGTGGATTGTGTTCCTGAAATCAGAGCATTACATAACAAGGTAAAATGTGGATTGAAAACTTAAAGGATAAACTGAGTTATGTTCCATAACACGTAGAAGAATGTCAAACAAGTTTTTAAATTCTTTCCTCAGCTAATACGATAATACAGATGTAATGGGTACATTTTATAGAGTTAAATTAGAGTCACCCTGCCTCGGTGGGAGACGGCTGACTTGTTGAAAAAAAAAAAAATTAGAGTTGAGTTAAATTAGAGTTAAATTACATTAGAGTTAAATTAAGTTAAACAGTGTGAATACTGTACTGTACTTTTATTTTTTTTATTATCACACCGGCTGATTCCCACCAAGGCAGGGTGGCCCGAAAAAGAAAAACTTTCACCATCATTCACTCCATCACTGTCTTGCCAGAAGGGTGCTTTACACTACAGTTTTTAAACTGCAACATTAACACCCCTCCTTCAGAGTGCAGGCACTGTACTTCCCATCTCCAGGACTCAAGTCCGGCCTGCCGGTTTCCCTGAATCCCTTCATAAATGTTACTTTGCTCACACTCCAACAGCACGTCAAGTATTAAAAACCATTTGTCTCCATTCACTCCTATCAAACACGCTCACGCATGCCTGCTGGAAGTCCAAGCCCCTCGCACACAAAACCTCCTTTACCCCCTCCCTCCAACCCTTCCTAGGCCGACCCCTACCCCGCCTTCCTTCCACTACAGACTGATACACTCTTGAAGTCATTCTGTTTCGCTCCATTCTCTCTACATGTCCGAACCACCTCAACAACCCTTCCTCAGCCCTCTGGACAACAGTTTTGGTAATCCCGCACCTCCTCCTAACTTCCAAACTACGAATTCTCTGCATTATATTCACACCACACATTGCCCTCAGACATGACATCTCCACTGCCTCCAGCCTTCTCCTCGCTGCAACATTCATCACCCACGCTTCACACCCATATAAGAGCGTTGGTTAAAACTATACTCTCATACATTCCCCTCTTTGCCTCCAAGGACAAAGTTCTTTGTCTCCACAGACTCCTAAGTGCCACCACTCACTCTTTTTCCCTCATCAATTCTATGATTCACCTCATCTTTCATAGACCCATCCGCTGACACGTCCACTCCCAAATATCTGAATACGTTCACCTCCTCCATACTCTCTCCCTCCAATCTGATATTCAATCTTTCATCACCTAATCTTTTTGTTATCCTCATAACCTTACTCTTTCCTGTATTCACCTTTAATTTTCTTCTTTTGCACACCCTACCAAATTCATCCACCAATCTCTGCAACTTCTCTTCAGAATCTCCCAAGAGCACAGTGTCATCAGCAAAGAGCAGCTGTGACAACTCCCACTTTGTGTGTGATTCTTTATCTTTTAACTCCACGCTTCTTGCCAAGACCCTCGCATTTACTTCTCTTACAACCCCATCTATAAATATATTAAACAACCACGGTGACATCACACTGTACTGTACTTCTAACCTTAAATTCTGATTGTTGATGAATGATGAGTTTGACGTCAGTGGAGAGGGTTGCTGTTACCCTACTAGACTGAGATGGATGGCTGGAGGATCTTGGGATGAGGTAGATGTCTGTGTGTATGACATGAGTTTCTTACACACAAATAAGGACTGTATATAAAAATCAGTGTTTCTTTTTTATTTACAGGAATATCGTCATCAATCTAAATTAGTACCTCTAGAGTCTCAAGAGTCTCTGATGGCTTGGGCTAATAGTGCCTTTCCTGGTGCTGTGAATTTTGAACACAACACAGGTGAGCCAATCTTTAGGTGTTGGTAATATTTATTCAGGTCATAGCTTGTGTGTTTAAAAAGAGGACTTCCTCATAATGGTTTTTTCTGTAGCTTTTCTAGTGAAGACACTTGTATCAGACAATATTTTGCTCAAGTGTTAGCATTTTTTTTATTACATATTGAGTATCCTTTTTCCAAAATGCTTGGGGCCAGAAGTGTCTTGGTGGCTTTCAGAATTTCTTGGATTTTTGGAATACAATGAGATAGCTTAGGGATGGGGCCCAAGTCTAAACACAGAATCCATTTAAATTTCATATACAGATTCTATGCATAGCGTGAAATACAATAGTTTTAATAATGGAATATCACAGCAGTATTGGCAGAATACCTGCCTCAGCTATTAAACAGAACAAACAACTTTGCCTTGCAGTCTCCACCTGTAATGCAGTGTTTTGATTAAAAATACTACTATGCACTGTATCTGTTTCTTATCACTATTACCCATGGTGGTATTTGCAGGCTTTTTTAACATTTTCAACAACATCTTTGCACCAAAGAACAGAGGATAAGGGCAAAATACATTGTAATCACAGTGAGTAATGCATGTTGGTCTATCGGTGTCAACTGATACTGATAATGATAAAATGACACGAACAAAGCATCAGAGCCCCACCCAGGGTATGTGAGGTCATGTGTCACAACTGTCTGGATATGCAGAGACCTGTGCAGCACCTGGGAACCTCCCCAGAGATGACTGGAATTTTCGACTTATGGCATTATGTCAACACTCGGCATGGCATCACACATGGAAAAGTTTTAGTTTTTGAAACATTTTAAATTTTGGACAAGGGATACTCAACCTTTAATAGTGTTGTCTAATAAAGATTTCCTTTCAATGGGGTAACTTGATAACTTTGAAGAGCTCTTGGTTCAAGGAACTGGAGATATTCTCCACTACCTTCTCTCTTCCTCCTCTCTTTCCTGTCCCTGTCCTCCTCTCGTATGTATACTGGCTCCCTAACCTTTGTGTGTTAGTGTGTGACTAGTTAATGGTCCAAGTTGGACTGAAACATCTTCATAAATTTCTTTCACCTATGTGCAGGTTATTTATGTATTCTTTTCCTTGGATTAAACTGATTGCCTCCCATTTCACAGGTGCTGACTGACTCCCTACAAATTTAGCCCTTCCTATAAGTGAACATAGAAAAGAGTAAGGTGATGAGAGTATCAAATGATTTAGATAAAGAAAAATTGGACATCAAATTGGGGGGGGGAGGAGTATGGAAGAAGTGAATGTTTTCAGATAGTACTTGGGAGCTGATGTGTCGGCGGATGGATTTATGAAGGATGAGGTTAATCATAGAATTGATGAGGGAAAAAAGGTGAGTGGTGCGTTGAGGTATATGTGGAGACAAAAAACGTTATCTTTGGAGGCAAAGAAGGGAATGTATGAAAGTATAGTAGTACCAACATTCTTACATGGGTGTGAAGCTTAGGTTGTGAATGCAGCAGCGAGGAGGCGGTTGGAGGCAGTGGAGATGTCCTGTCTAAGGGCAATGTGTGGTGTAAATATTATGCAGAAAATTCGGAGTGTGGAAATTAGGAGAAGGTGTGGAGTTAATAAAAGTATTAGTCAGAGGGCTGAAGAGGGGTTGTTGAGGTGGTTTGGTCATTTAGAGAGAATGGACCAAAGTAGAATGACATGGAGAGCATATAAATCTGTAGGGGAAGGAAGGCGGGGTAGGGGTCGTCCTCGAAAGGGTTGGAGGGAGGGGATAAAGGAGGTTTTGTGGGTGAAGGGCTTGGACTTCCAGTGAGCGTGCGTGAGCGTGTCAGATAGGAGTGAATGGAGAGTGAGCGTGTTAGATAGGAGTGAATGGAGACGAATGGTATTTGGGTCCTGACGAACTGTTGGAGTGCGAGCAGGGTAATATTTAGTGAAGGGATTCAGGGAAACCGGTTATTTTTATATAGCCGGACTTGATTATTATTATTATTATAATCAAGGGGAAGCGCTAAACCCAGAGGATTATACAGCGCCTGGGGGGGGATGTGGAAGGCATTCAGGCTTAATTCGGGGAACTGGAGCACAGATCCAATTTCCTAAATCAAGAGCCCTCACCAACATCAAGGAACCTTCCCTGAGGGGAGCCGGACTTGAGTCCAGGAAATGGGAAGTACAATGCCTGCACTTTAAAGGAGGGGTTTGGGATATTGGCAGTTTGGAGGGATATATTGTGTATCTTTATATGTATATGCTTCTAAACTGTTGTATTCTGAGCACTTCTGCATAAACAGTAATTATGTTTGAGTGAGGTGAAAGTGTTGAATGATGATGAAAGTATTTTTTGGGGGGGATTTTCTTTCTTTTTGGGTCACCCTGCCTCGGTGGGAGACGGCCGACTTGTTAAAAAAAAAAAAATAATAATAATCAGGGTTTGCTCTTCTGTGTTGGTATAGCACCATTCTTGTCAGCAGTTTGCCTTGCAGCTGTTGGGTTGCATGTTGCTTGTCTTACCTATGTTGATTTTTTTTTTTTTTTTTTTTTTTTTTTTTTTTTTTTTTTTTTGCAGATTTAGATTTATCTTCTAAGGTCAAGCGATGTTTAAGCCGCATTAAGAAGATGAAACTTAGAGAGCTAACCCTAAAGGACTTGAGCTCATCGACCAGTTCAGATGAGTCGAGTTTGGAGGAAAGACAAAACCGAAAAAAGAAAGGTAAATTTGTTAAATATGTGTGAAATTTTTTTTTATCATTTTACCCCCTTTACTATTTATTCAGGAGTACGGGGAGAGTTTTTAGTTCTCATTTTCTATTATTTTCACCCAGTTACACTTCACATTAACCTCTAAATAAAATCAAAATTTAATTGTATTACTAAAGTGAACTTTTCTTTTGAGAGGGGACAGTAACCTTTGTAGGTCAGTAGAATCTAAAATTTATTTATAAAAAATACAGTATTCATAGTACAGGTACTATTAAATATCTATTGCACTGGAAATATTCCAAGTTGAACAGTAGAGTATTCTTCCTTTGAGGAGGATATGCCTCAATGTTGGTAAAGGGTTTTTAATCCAAAGAATTAGAGCTACTCTCCTCTTTTTTTTTTTTTTTTTTTGATAAAAATTTATTATCTTTCAGGTTGATCACGTCCCAATAAATATGTTAATTCCCAGTTCACATCCCATTGACTTTCATGCTAAATTCATTAGTGTAAAACATTAATAGTTAAACCCCCAGTTTAACAAATCCTGATTTTGAGTTAGAATAACTCAGAAACTCACTCATTTGTGAAAGCACCTGACAGTTGACCCACAGAAAATATGAGACACAAGTGACATATTTGTCACATCACTATATACATGACTTCATTTTTTAGCTAAAATATGTAAATTATCACACTTTCATGCAATGCTACATTTAAAATTGTATTTTATGGGAAATGTTAAGCCATTTCATATTATTTTATTTCAAGTTGTTAACCATAATACTCTTGTACAATGATAATGAACTTACACTGATATCACTATGGACCTTTGATATGAACAGGAGATAAAGTCTATTGGTTACAGAATTGTCCATTGTTGTTATGATCACTGAAAAACAATATCATCTCTGTCTACCACAATTACCATTGTGTGCCACACACTCCCCCATTTCCCCTCATTAGTCCTTTAAATTGAGGGTTTTACTGTAGTATTGTACTTTTTTTTTTTTTATCTGCCCCAAAACCACTTTGCATATACATAAGTGAGGAGTCATTTTATTTTCCTTTTTAGCACATCAGCTATGTCCCACCAAGGCAGGGTTACCCAAAAGTATTTTTTTTTTTTTTTACATTTAGTAATTTATACAGGAGAAGGAATTATGAGTTCCTTGCTTCCAGCATTTTAGTTACCTCTTACGACACATGGCTTACAGAGGAAAGATTCTTCTCCACTACCTCATGGAAAACGAGTCAATTGTACAGGCTTAAAACTCCCTCTTGCATTACTGTTATTTGCCTTAACCTAGATTGTTAGCATCATTCCCAGATGAAATACCTGTAATTTGTTTCAAGAGTTCTATCCTTGCAGCCTATCCTGTGGCCAGAATTCTCTGGCTGCCTGTTCAGCCAGGCTGTTGCTGCTAGTGGCTCACAGGTCTACATAGCCCCTCCCCCCTCACAGCCTGGCTTATTTAAATTTTTAAACATATTCCATAATAGGAAGGAATAACTAAACCATGTCACTCAAAAGATGGAAAATATGCACACACAGAGTGAAAATAATAACTGAAGGGAAATACACAGTGCTTTCATTTATTTGTACAAACATCTTCAGAGAATGTGTTTGTAAAATGAACTTTGGTATTTTACTCTCTTATTTTTCACTGCTGCACATTTTTTTCATAGTTCCGCAAGAAAGAACCCTTTCTAAAACAGCGTAATTTTTTCAGTGTCCCTTATGCAGGCAGTCCGTGAAGGAACTCACGACATTGAGACACTGTGTATAGCGTGTAACCGAATGGACTGTGAAGTAGTGTCCCCACACCCATATTTTTTAGGTGGCATCTGTCAGTCATGCAAGGTAAAGAAACTATTGCTAGTTCTAGGACTGGCTTGCCATGAGTTTGAGCCCTTTGTTCAGTTCTTGTTGAATGCTAATATGCATTTGGTTTGTTCACTGAAAAATATTAACTAGCAGCTTTCTCATACCAGTCTAATTAAGCTATTAATTAAATACATAATGCAATTGATTAGAAATTCATTTAATACACATATGCAAAAGTTAATAAATTAATTAAAAATGAATCATAGATTAAAACTTGAGTTAATATGGAATAGGCAATAAATATGAATTCCTATACATGTAAAGTAGGGCCCTGCTTTTCGGCGTTTCGCCTTACAGCATTCCGTTAATACAGTAATCTCAAATTATGACCAAAACTTTCTATACGGCAAGTGGTTTCAAATACGGTGCGGGCCACCCAGTTTGTTTACATTCTCCATGAGCACATCTCTCTGTTATGTAATAATAATCACTCTTGGACACATTAAATGACTAATTTTATGTCAATATAGACATTTTCATTAATCCATGATATTTTCTTCAAAATTATATAAGAAACACGTTACATAGCATATAAACATGCTGTTTATATGCTATGGAGGTGTGGTTGCCGGTTGGAGGGAAAACATTACGTAATATTAATAATAATCACTCTTGGACACATTAAATGTTTAATTTTATGTTAATATAGGCATTTTCATTAATCCATCTATTATATTTTCTTCAAAATTATATAAGAAACACATTACATAATATATAAACATTTTATGTTTAGTATATACTAAGGAGGTGTGGTAGCCAGGCGGAGGGAAAACATTACATCACTCCCCTTAATACCTAACGCTTTTGTTCACAATTCTCGGCTTGAATTATTCATTACTTCTCCCTTTCTTTATGATGGCATCTAAAGGTAGTTGTTAGAAACGATTAAATTCAGTGAACATGGTATGTCGATGGTAATAATATGGCTCTGGGCCACATTAAATATCGTGTAGCTATGTAGGTAGTTGTAGGTATGTAGCCCAGGCGGACTACATACCTACATTATTACTACAACTGATAATTATACGTATGTGTACCTGTACCTAAGTAAACTTACACACTGTGCTGGCATGCAGGTACATATTAAATTCACTAAGAGTGTCTTATTAATCTTGAAGATGCCATATTAATAATGATAATAATAACACAATAATAATCACTCTGAGGAGCATTAAATATCGTATAAAATGTTAATACAGTGGACCCCCGCTTAACGATCACCTCCAAAGGCGACCAATTATGCAAGTGTATTTATGTAAGTGCGTTTGTACGTGTATGTTTGGGGGTCTGAAATGGACTAATCTACTTCACAATATTCCTTATGGGAAAAAATTCGGTCAGTACTGGCACCTGAACATACTACTGGAATGAAAAAAGTTCGTTAACCGGGGGTCCACTGTATAGACATTTTGCTTAATCCGTCTAAATACACCCCGCAGTAGAATAAATTAACAAATATGAGATGTGGTAGCCAGGTGACTTGTAGGACTTGTGGTAGCCAGGCAACTTGTAGGACTTGTGGTAGCCAGGCAACTTGTAGGACTTGTGGTAGCCAGGCAACTTGTAGGACTTGTGGTAGCCAGGCAACTTGTAGGACATGTGGTAGCCAGGCAACTTGTAGGACTTGTGGTAGCCAGGCAACTTGTAGGACATGTGGTAACCAGGCAACTTGTAGAACTTGTGGTAGCCAGGCAACTTGTAGGACTTGTGGTAGCCAGGCAACTTGTAGGACTTGTGGTAGCCAGGCAACTTGTAGGACTTGTGGTAGCCAGGCAACTTGTAGGACTTGTGGTAGCCAGGCAACTTGTAGGACTTGTGGTAGCCAGGCAACTTGTAGGACTTGTGGTAGCCAGGCAACTTGTAGGACATGTGGTAGCCAGGCAACTTGTAGGACTTGTGGTAGCCAGGCAACTTGTAGGACTTGTGGTAGCCAGGCAACTTGTAGTCCAACATCAGAGAAAATGTGTCACTATAATATTACTGGGGGTAGCCAGAAAATTATTCCTTTCGTATGCCTTCACTCAGAGTGTCATTTTTTTCTAAAAATGGTGTTACATGAGAATGGGAGTGTTTCCCTTTATTTATTCTACTGTATCAACATGGAGACAACTTGTACACAATGTAAAGTGACGAAAACCAAACACGTTCATCTAGTTTGTTTACATTATGTGTGGGAGGGGTGGGGTGGTGAGGGCTGCCCTTCATGGCTGCCCATACTTCCCAACTTGACTTTATACAAATAAAACTCACCTCTCACCCTACATTAAGACTACAAATATTTTAAGGTAACTAATGAGTGTACTATATATGCATTTTATCGCTCTAGGAAGCGTAATGTTGTAGTAGGTGAGAGTGGCCAGGCAGGATGCCATGCCTCCCACATGACTTTCTAGAAATAAATATTTTCACCTCTCAACCTACATTAAGACCATTAAGACTACAAATATTTTAAGGTAAGTAATGCGTATACTGTATATGCATTTTATCACTCTAGGGAGCTTTAAGCATCATAGTATAGTATGTGTGGGTGGGGTGACCAGGAGGGCTACCACACCTGACTTCTTAAGAGTAAATACTACTCACCTTTTGCCCTACATTAAGACTACAAATATTTTGAGGTAAATAATGAGTGTACTGTGTGCGTATTTTACTTTTTAATGCCTAGTTCTGTTGCTAACTTAGTATATGTTAGTGTAAACTTGTCATTTGGCATTTATATGCATTTATAAATGGGAAAAAATGGAGTTCTGCTTTCTGGCGAAGTCTGCTTTCCAGCAGTAGCCTGGAACCTAACCTGCCGAATAAGTGGGGCCCTACTGTAGCACATTTTCTGTCATGTAAGATGCACTGCCACATTAAACATTTACTTTATGGAGCTTTTAAAAAGCATTTTGTGGCACATTGTTATATATATACTTATTGTTACTGCCATTAAGGAAAGAAAAAACAAATTCACATTCATTTTAAAGTGTCTTCTTTTGACCAGATGTTTTAATGGTTGATTTTTTAATCCTTCGTGCCAACAAACTTGTTTGATATAACCGAACATTTAATGATCATCGTCCGTATTTCATACATGAGAACTCAACCAACTTCTTTCCTTACACCAGTTACTTACTTTTCAAAATTAAAAATTTTCTGTTCATATTCGCCATGCATCTTTTGCTCTGTGGACAACACATTGTCTGCCATCTCGAACCATATTCTTCTTTTGGTTCTCCCACAATTACCATATAACACCCCTGTAACAAATTGCAAAAAATTTTTTACAATACAGCCTCACCTCACTTAGTGATGTACATACTCATTTATTGATGATTCGGATTTACGACGGGCTCTCTGATCAGTATGCATACCTAAATAATGTATATTAGAGCTGATTTCCTCAATTCTATTTATTACAATATACAGTACACTGCTGTATAAACATTTAAAAATATACCAGAAATGTTATAAATGGTGTAAAGGTAACATTAAAACAATATCAAAGATGGTTCACACAAACCTACTACAGTGGTCCCCGCTTTTCGTAGTTCCCGGCAATCGTAAAATTCGCCAATCATGGGGGTATTTTCGTATAAACATGGACTCGCTTTTCATAGGTTGACTCGCAAGTCGTAGTTCGTCCGGGACGCGTACGCATGGCGTGGGCCAGGGCGGCAGCCAGTCTGGCATTGTTTACCAGTGAGCAAAGGTCCCCTCGCGTGCTCCAGCGAAATATTTTATAATATTCCATTTATTTTAGTGCTTGCAAGTACTAAATAAGCTACCATGGCTCCAAAGAAAGCTCCTAGTGCCAAGCCTGTGGTAAAGAAGGTGAGAAATACGATTGAATTTAAGAAAATCATCATTGAACAATATGAAAGTGGTACAAGTGGGGCCGAACTGTCCAGGATGTATAAGAAACCCTACACAACCTTATGTTCCATAGTGGCCAAGAAAAATGAAATAAAGGATGCTGTTGTTGCAAAGGGAGTAACTATGCTGACAAAAATGAGATCACCAGTACTGGAAGAGGCTGAGAAGTTATTATTGGTGTGGATAAATGAGAAACAATTAGCAGGAGATACTCTTATGACTTCGTTTATTTGTGAAAAGGCTAGGCAGTTGCATGAAGATTTGGTAAAGAAATTGCCTGCAAATAGTGGTGAAGTGAGTGAATTTAAGGCCAGCAAAGGCTGGTTTGAGAGATTTAAGAACCATACTGGCATACACAGTGTGGTAAGGCATGGTGAGGCTGCCAGTTCAGACCACAAGGCGGCTGAAAAATATGTGCATGAATTCCAGGAGTACATATACAGTGAAGGACTGAAACCTGAACAAGTGTTCAGTTGTGACGAAACAGGCCTCTTTTGGAAGAAAATGCCAAATACAGTGGACCCCCGGTTAACGAACTTTTTTCATTCCAGTAGTATGTTCAGGTGCCAGTACTGACCGAATTTTTTCCCATAAGGAATATTGTGAAGTAGATTAGTCCATTTCAGACCCCCAAACATACACGTACAAACGCACTTACATAAATACACTTACATAATTGGTCGCATTTGGAGGTGATCGTTAAGCGGGGGTCCACTGTAGGACCTTCATTACACAAGAGGAAAAGGCAATGCCAGGACATAAGCCTATGAAAGACAGGCTGACGCTAATGTTCTGCGCTAATGCTAGTGGGGATTTCAAAGTGAAGCCATTACTAGTGTACCATTCTGAAAATCCCAGAGTGTTCAGGAAAAACAATGTTATGAAGAGTAAATTGTGTGTGTTTTGGAAATCTAATAGTAAGGCATGGGTCACGAGGGGAATTTTCGTCGAGTGGTTCAATGAAGTGTTTGTCCCTAGTGTGAAGGAGTATCTCCTGGAAAAGAAATTGGATCTCAAGTGCGTGCTAGTAATGGACAATGCACCTGCTCATCCTCCAAACTTGGATGACCTAATTTTCGAGGAGTTTGGGTTCATCACAGTAAAGTTCTTGCCCCTGA